ATTCAAAGAAGAAAGAATAAGGCCAAAAGTTATGGATTATAATAACTTGTTTAGAAAACACCTAGACAAACATGCTCCAAAGTGAAGCCAGGTGATCATTCTTCATCACACTTGCAAGGTTTCATACAGTACCTTTGTGTGAATACCATTTTTCTAAAGTCTTCCTCCCCTCAAAGTCTTGGCTGGGCACAGTGGCTCACACCTGTAATCCTAGCTCTTTGGGAGGCCGACCAGGCGGATCACTCAAGGTCAGGAGTTTGAAACCAGCTCTGAGCAAGAGCAAGACCCCGTCGCTACTGAAAAAATAGAAAGAAATTAATTGGCCAACTAAAATTATATAGAAAAAATTAGCCAAGCATGGTGGCGCATGCCTGTAGTCCCAGCTACTTGGGAGGCTGAGGCAGGAGGATCGCTTGAGCCCAGGAGTGTGAGGTTGCTGTGAGCTAGGCTGATGCCACAGCACTCTAGCTCGAGCAACAGTGGGACTGTCTCAAAAAAAAAAAGAGTAAAGTCTTTAACTTTGTATTTTTATATGTACCCAGAATTGATCAAGTTTGTCAGGACTATATCATAGTTATCAGATTCACAAAAAAATCTTGATATTAAGAAGACACTAAGGCTATAAATTTTTCTAATGTCTCAAGTCTGTTGTTGGCTATCAGGAGTACCTGATAAGCAGAATCCATAAATAAAAGTTTGCTTGTGATAATGGAATCAGCAACAAGAGGAGGCTAGTTTGAACATTATCTCAACCAAATTACCTTAAGGCCTGGTAACTGGTTTCTGCCTCACAACAGAGTATCCTTTGTTCATGTTTCCAAAATTTCCTCCTTGGACAATGGTAGATAAATATCAACAAATTATTTTTTAAGGCTTAATTCACTTTATCTTTCTTGTATAAAAACCCTACCTAACAAATTCTTACTCTTTGTACTCCCGTTTTCCAAACTCCAAGATGACTACTCCCCATTTGTTAACACAAACTTTTTTCAAACAATTTACTATATAACTGATAGGATTTCTAATCTTTTCAAGAGAGGGCGAGTTCAATTCTAAAGGAGTTGGTCAAATGGATTGCTAAAGAAAATATAAAGCATTTCCTAGCAGTGAAGGTAGACCTGTCAATTGAGGTTATTTTTATAACTTTGTTTAAATATGGGTCCACAGATTATGTATTGCTGTCATGGGTGTTGGAAGATCACCCAATACTATCCCTATTTTCATTTAAAAAACTAAAACTAAAGCCCAGTAAAGTCAAATGATTTCAAATCACTTGACTAGGCTGAGAAAGGATTAGATCTCTAGTTTTTAACTCTGATTCATTCCGTTCATTATACTTCGCAACACAATTGGACACAGGTGATCACATTAAAGTAAAAGTCACTAGGGAACAGGCAGAAATAATCTGGCGACCCCACTTTTTGAAAAAAAAAAATTTTTTAGACTAGTCAAATGCAGTAGCGAGAAAGGGGGGAAAGTAGAACAAGGAGTTCAATCTGTAACTGTGTATAATCAAGTGAGATAACTATCTTCAGAAAAGCCGGCGACCCCACTTTTTAAAAGCACATACAAATCACTCAATTCCTTAAATTCTGTCCGCCAAACAGATGTTGCAGCTTTCCACGCTAACAAGAAAGAAGAGCATTAGAAAATAGTCCCGATATGTAATATTTATTTCTGGAGATCAGTGAGTACCTAATGAACTGACCTCCACCAGTCCCGCCTCAGGTTGTTAAGGGTAACAATTCAGTGTGTCAGCCGCGTTTTGAGGCCCAAGGTGCCCACGATTCACACTAGTCGGTGTCGCAGGGATTTCCAGTACGTGCCCTCTCAGATGGGCGCCAGTCAGACACCGGTCCCTGGCATTTGGGAACGAGAGAGGTGATCCGAGGGGCCTAGAGGGCTTTCTTGCAACCTTAAATTACAAGAAGGGACAGTGTGGTTTTATTTTAAACACCGGAATGGAATGAATTCGTAAATGGAGACCTTGAGGCCTGCGTGGCGGAGGGGAATAGGCGAGAGAAGAAAGGGAAAAGCCTTTCTCTCCGGTGACGCGCGGTCACGAGGCGTTTTCCCGACGTGGGCGCTCACCATTGGTCCAGCCCAAGTCGGCGTCGCGTCAGCCACCCTGGCGCGAACGGCGGCAAGGGCGGTGCTGCACTGGAAGTTGGCGAGACGCGCGCGCTCCCGCAGCCTGCCGCGCCTCCGCCTCCGCCCGCCAACCTGCTGCTCGTCCAGTCTCTCTTCGCGCCCGCTGGGCCCCGCCCCTTTCCCAACTCGCCCCTCCCCCACCACGCCGGCGGCGCGCGGAAAGCGCGTCACGTGACGAGTGGCCCCGCCTCTTCCTCTCGGTCCCATATTGAACTCGAGTTGGAAGAGGCGAGTCCGGTCTCAAAATGGAGGTAAAACCGCCGTCCGGTCGCCCCCAGCCCGACTCCGGCCGTCGCCGCCGCCGCCGGGGGGAGGAGGTATTAGGGGGAGAGTGGGGGGTTGATGGGTAGTGGCCGGCGTGGGGGGCCTGGCTCGGTGGGAGCGGGGAGGCCGGGTGGACTGGGTTGGCCGTCCCGCGCTCTGCGTTCAGACGGGCGGTGGGGGGGAGGGGGAGCGGGCCTCGGAGGCCTCCTCGGGGTCCCTCGCCCGTCTCGCCTTCACCTTCGGCTGCCCAGGTGGCCCCTCGGAGGCGCGGCGTGGCTGGGGAGGCCTCGAGAGGGGAGCTGGCCCGCCGGTTGCGCGGTCTCGGAAGCGAGGCCGAGGGCGGCATGGCGGGCCTCGGCGGGAGCGGTTGGGAGGAGGCGGTGGGGGAGGGGAGGGGACGAGCAGGCACATCCGGGCGAGCGAGCAGGCGGGCGGCGGCCACATTGACATTGATCCGCTGCCGCGTTACGAAATGGCGCATTGGTCCGCAATGGCCGCCGCCTCGCTCCGCCGCCGGGAGATGCCTGGGATTGGAGGGAAGAGGGAGGAGGCGGCCCAGCAGAAAATGCTGCAAATGGCCTCGAAGCCCGGAGCGTTGAAGTTCTGCCGGCGGGTTTCTAAGCCTTTACACATCTCTTCAGCGACGAGAATTCATTAATTCTCTGGCCTATTCTTTTTTCCTCAGCATCCAGTTGGAAATGCAAGATTTTTCAAAAGTTTGTTGCTTTAAAATACTTTATTATCTGTTATTCTTGCTAAAGTACTTAGAATTATACTTCTCAAATCAGCATGTGAGTGAGGTACTTTAGTATTTCAGAATTTGAGTGTAGGAACTTAAATTTTTTTGATCTGTTTTCCCACCCTTTGGGTCGGCTCTGGTTGTAGTTTTCTGGATTTTTTGCTTTAGAGGAGTGCAACCACAGTTTGTGGATTGTCAATCAAATGACTATCCAATACTTTAAAAGATGAGACTAAATGATTTAATGCTTTAGGCTATTAATCATTTAACATTTTTTTTTTAGCTTGTGACAGTCTCTTCACTTTAAATGCCTTAACATCTCTACTTCTAGAAGATACAGGAAAACATTACAATGTAAATGTGAGACCCTTTGTCTAAGGACTTTGGATGAGCCAAATCTTAATGCATGCATTAAATGACAGTTCATGAAATTTGTTAAAAAGCTTTTGACTAAAGTATAAAACATTTTCAGGCCACATTTTATTTTTTTTTAAATCTCAATTTGTTTTATTGTGCTCTGTTCCTTTCTGGTCAGGCAATATATGCTATACCTAATGTAGGTCCTGCTTGCCAAATTGTAACTCTAAAAATGTGTTGGTTTTGTAGCACATAACAAACATCGGTTACAGAAGGCTAATAAATGGTGGGCTTTTTTTTTCTTTTTGCGGTAGGGAAGGATGCTTTAGCTTAGGACTATTTTAACATTAATTTTCTTGAAACTGGTAGCTTTCTCTGAATTTGCCACTTGAAACTTTTAAGTTGTATTTCATCACAGTTTTGTGATTTTAAAATTCAACATTTTTGGGGATGTAGAATGAGAAGACTTGAAATAGCATGGATGGAACATTGCTTCTCCAACACTTTAGCAACTTCTGAAATCTACACTTTTAGTTACAGCTTAAAAATGAAGGGATTTTTGATTATGGAGTTGTCTTGTACTTCAGTGTAGCTGAAGTGACATTGGCATTTGAGAGGCTGCTTATAGGTTTCCTTGGCACCATTTAGTTGATTTAATGTAACAGTCCATTTGTCTAGTTAAATTTTTTTTAACTGGACAAAGTGTTAAAGTTACAGAAATTTGATGAAAAACTCTTTGTGATAGGTTAAGGTTTGTGGGTCTTTTCTTAGAGATTCATCCACTATAAGAAATAACTAAAATGTATTGGGTCTTTTTCTCAGGGCCATGATCCAAAGGAACCAGAGCAGTTGAGAAAACTGTTTATTGGTGGTCTGAGCTTTGAAACTACAGATGATAGCTTAAGAGAACATTTTGAGAAATGGGGCACACTCACAGATTGTGTGGTAAGTTACTAAGGGAACAAAAAATTTCTTAGGAAGGGGCTGTAGAGGACCTGTGGAAGTGTTTCAGTGCTTTAAAATTTTTATCTTGTAGGTAATGAGAGACCCCCAAACAAAACGTTCTAGGGGCTTTGGTTTTGTGACTTACTCTTGTGTTGAAGAGGTGGATGCAGCAATGTGTGCTCGACCACACAAGGTTGATGGGCGTGTTGTGGAACCAAAGAGAGCTGTTTCTAGAGAGGTATTTTGATTATATGTTGTGTAATATGTGAAACTGTTGTGAAAGTTTGGGGGGGGGATTTTTTTGACTCCTAATGTATTTTATTTGCAGGATTCTGTAAAGCCTGGTGCCCATCTAACAGTGAAGAAAATTTTTGTTGGTGGTATTAAAGAAGATACAGAAGAATATAATTTGAGAGACTACTTTGAAAAGTATGGAAAGATTGAAACCATAGAAGTTATGGAAGACAGGCAGAGTGGAAAAAAGAGAGGATTTGCTTTTGTAACTTTCGATGATCATGATACTGTTGATAAAATTGTTGGTAAGTAGCAATTGTGAATGAGAAAGCAGAGGTGGTTCTCTGTTTTCATCAAAATTTGCTTAACTGCTTATAATTTTGTGTTGTGCCTAATAGAATATAAAATGTACAGTTATTTTCATAAAGTGTCTTCACTTATTTAACTAGCATTCAGTTCAAGAAATAAACATCCCAGAACACTCACTCATCCCCACTCACAGTCACTACCTTGATAACATTTTAAAGAGTTACGTAATGACAAAGGATTTCATTTATATATGCTTTTCCAAACATAAAATAACTGTTTGTTTGTTTGTTTGATTAAAAAAAATTTAGTTCAGAAATACCACACTATTAATGGGCATAATTGTGAAGTGAAAAAGGCCCTTTCAAAACAAGAGATGCAGTCTGCTGGATCGCAAAGAGGTGAGTAGGACCATACACATATACACAATAGATGTGAGTAGTGTTTGTAAAATTCTTTAAAATTTTCCTTGCCTGTCTTAAAGGTCGGGGAGGTGGATCTGGCAACTTTATGGGTCGTGGAGGAAACTTTGGAGGTGGTGGAGGTAATTTTGGCCGTGGTGGAAACTTTGGTGGAAGAGGTAGGATGTTTATCTTATTTCTGAGTATGTGAGTACCTAAAATTTAATTATAAGTTGAATAAATAATTTTAATTCATATCTTCTCTTCAGGAGGCTATGGTGGTGGAGGTGGTGGCAGCAGAGGTAGTTATGGAGGAGGTGATGGTGGATACAATGGATTTGGAGGTGATGGTAGGTGGTTTTTGTTTTAATTGATATTTGGTACTTTGTTTCTTTAACTTACTGAAAATTATTTGTTATATTTTTCTAATTTCAGTCAAAGCTTGAATGGCTTGATGATTAAAGTATACTTCCAAAGTAGTACCATAGATAAGTAGGCCTCTTCTCCCCTAAAGATTGAACATTAGCTAATCATTTTGGGCCAGTAAAGTTTGTTGGACTAGCAGTTGAGCTAGAATGAAGTCTGAGACTATTTAGTAAATTTAAAAAAAAAAACGAAAACAATGATTTTTTTCCATTTTGATATTAAGTGATGTTTAAGCATTTATCTTAATTCTTAGTAGCCCAGATTCTTGCTGTTCTGTTAACCCGATATTACCAGTTTCAAAGTATTAAAATTAACTTACTGGCTTATTTGCCAGTGACTTATGTTAATAAAAACTTAGAATTCAATAATTTGATCCTCTGTATACCTATGATTTTGTGTGGCCTCTTTTTTTTATTTGTTTGTTTGGGTTTTTTTAGGTGGCAACTATGGCGGTGGTCCTGGTTATAGTAGTAGAGGGGGCTATGGTGGTGGACCAGGATATGGAAACCAAGGTGGTGGATATGGCGGTGGTGGAGGAGGATATGATGGTTACAATGAAGGAGGAAATTTTGGAGGTGGTAAGCTTTTAACTCGTTCTATTTAAATGTTAAATAATTCAGTGTTGCTAAGAATTTCATTATAGATGTTCGAAAAAGTGTTAAAAGTTAGTATTTGATCAAATTTTATCTTCTATAATATTTAAGTGGTAGGTAATAAAACTGAATTTTCTTAGCTTTACTGGCTTTTTATTTTTAGTAAATTGATAAAAATGTACTCAAATATTTATTATATATAGTTAAGATGGGAATTATCCAGTATACATATAAAGGATCAGTAATGTTTTTATCGCGAGAATTTTACTTAACTCTTAAGCACTCCCCCCCCCCTTTTCTTTTTTGAGACACTGTTTTTACTCTGTTGCCTGGGCTAGAGTGTGGTGGAGGGATCGCATCTTAACTTGCAACCTCAAACTCCTGGGCTCCTTCTCCGTTGGTATTTTTTTGGATTTGTGTGGTTTTTGAGACTGTTTCAGCTTTGTCACCCAGGGTGCAGTGGTGTCATCGTAGCTCACTGCAACCTAAACTGCTTAGGTTCAAGTGATCCTCCTGCCTCAGCCTCCCAGAAAGTAGCTGGGACTACAGACACAAGTTATCACAACTGGCTAATTCTTTGTGTTTTAAACGTTATACTGCATCAGAATCATAATGAATGAAACATTGACAATTTTGATGGTGTTAATGGTAGGAAGGAAGGAACATGTGCATACAGGGCATAGCATTTAAATAGACAATACTGATGTTTATTCTTTTTGTTTTGTTTTGAGACAGACTTTCACTCTGTTGCCCAGGCTTTTGAGTGAGTGCCATGGCGTCAGCCTGGCTCACAGCAACCTCAAACTCCTGGGCTCAAGCAGTCCTGCTTCAGTCTCAGCCTCCTGAGTAGCTGGGACTACAGGCATGTGCCACCATGCCCGGCTTACTTTTTCTATATATTTTTAGTTGTCCAGTTAATTTGTTTCTATTTTTGTTAGAGATGGGATCTCGCTCTTGCTCAGGCTGGTTTCGAACTCCTAACCTTGAGCCATCCACTTCCCAGAGTGCTAGGATTACAGGCGTGAGCCACCGTGCCCAGCATGCTCTTTTGGTCATTGTTTTTTCCTTTAATTTCTTCCTCTCCTACCTATGCCTTAGGTCTGCTGGGGGCATCTGGGTTAGTGGTGGGGAAGGAGTTGGGTAGGTATAAAATTTTTTTTAAAAGGGTTGCATATTAGTGTGGTAGAGCATGCTACTATGATTGTTGAAAGATAATAGTTAACATGTTAAAAGAAGAAAATAATTATTGTATAGGTAAACCGCAAAATGTCTGTGATTTCAGGTAACTATGGTGGTGGTGGGAACTATAATGATTTTGGAAATTATAGTGGACAACAGCAATCAAATTATGGACCCATGAAAGGGGGCAGTTTTGGTGGAAGAAGCTCGGGCAGTCCATATGGTGGTAAATAACTTTTTTTTTACTGAAATTCTTTAGAATGTTTTAACTTAAAAATTCTATATACTTTAAAATATTGTGTATATTTTAGGTGTTATGGATCTGGTGGTGGAAGTGGTGGAATATGGTAGCAGAAGGTTCTAAAAACAGCAGAAAAGGGTAGGTATCTTTAAATTTTTATCATGATATAAAAAAATGTGGAAATGTTCACTGAGTGTAATAATTTTTTTATCCTGTATTATTCAACAGGCTACAGTTCTTAGCAGGAGAGAGAGCGAGGAGTTGTCAGGAAAGCTGCAGGTTACTTTGAGACAGTCGTCCCAAATGCATTAGAGGAACTGTAAAAATCTGCCACAGAAGGAACGATGATCCATAGTCAGAAAAGTTACTGCAGCTTAAACAGGAAACCCTTCTTGTTCAGGACTGTCATAGCCACAGTTTGCAAAAAGTGCAGCTATTGATTAATGCAATGTAGTGTCAATTAGATGTACATTCCTGAGGTCTTTTATCTGTTGTAGCTTTGTCTTTTTCTTTTTCTTTCATTACATACAGTATATTGCCTGTAAATTGTGGTAGTGGTACCAGGAATAAAAAATTAAGGAATTTTTAACTTTTCAATATTTGTGTAGTTCAGTTTTTCTACATTTTAGTACAGAAACTTTAACAAAATGCAGTTTTGAAGGTGTTTCCTTGTGATTAACAAGTAAAGAAGATAATTGTTAATTACTATTTTGTATGAATTTTGCTAAAGTTAACTGTAAGAAACACCTGCTGACTTGCAATTTAAGGGGATCTATTCTCCCATTTCCAAACCATGATATGAATGGGGCTGACATGTGGAGAGAATAGATATTTGTATGTTTGCAATGTGTGTTTTAGATAATAGATTGGTATTTAAATTAGCATATTTGTGAATTTAATAGCATTAAGATTACCATCCAATGAAAATCTCAAAATTTCTATTTGGTTTTTGTGCATTTTCTTCCAAAATGTAATCATATGGTTTTAGTGTGTTAGATTTGCTGAGTCCTAGCTGTGTTTAGAACATCTTCATTCTACATTTACCTTGGTCACGTTTGAACTGCTGCATAGTTTTTGGTATAAAGAATGTCTACTGCCCACTATTTAAATTCTGGGAAGGGATAGTGGCGTTTTCCCTCTTCTCCTACTTTATGAGACAGTTCTAAGAACGTTTCAAAATAGAGGACCACTAAGCCTGCTATGTCGGAGGAAATTAGTGGGTACTTTTTTTTTTTCCTTTTTAAAAGCACAAGAGGCCCATAAATATCTTATTTTCCTTGGTTTAATTTTTTTTTTCTCTATACACACTTTCAGAGCAAGAGAATAAAAATCATGCGTTATTTAAACCCTTAACTGGCTGGCATGCTTTCTGGTTGTACCCTATACATTTTGCTGGAGGAAACCAAGAACAGTCCTAGGTAATTTTAAAATAACTTACTGCAGCAGAAATGTCATACATAGTTGCTTAGACATTGGGTGATCTGGAGTTCCTAAATTCCCAACGATAACATATGTTACTTCTTGTGTATATTTCAACCTAAATCATGTTGATGTGAGTTATCAATTTGTTTGGAAGGCCCTGGTTGAGAAGTTTTAGATAATAAGGTCATATATATATAAATATAAACCAATGTCTACTGTTTTGCGCCAGCTAGTGCTTACAATTTCATTCGAGCCCTAAGTATGTGCCCTGCTGTTATTCTTTCTTTGGCAGTTGAACGTTGAATTCGAGATTTCTTATTTTTGTTTTAAGAAGTACTAAGCAAAACAAGCAATAAAAAGGGGAATGGAGCATGCTAGTGTTTGAATATGCTCTTTTGTTGCTTCTAATTCTGTGCCCCTGTGCATTATTAATATTTGGATGCATGCAATGCCAGCATGGAAATTGGTCTTCACACATACTGCAGTTTTCCAGAAACACTCACAAACCAATAAATGTAACAGACATTCCATTTGTTAATGGGCATATATGTGAATAAGCAGTGTAGAAAATAGGCTAATATTAGAAAATGGTTAAGTACTTAAAACAACTTCAAGTGTGGTTATATAAATGGACACTGTCAATGTTCATAACTTCAACCTGGGTACCTGGTCAAAATGCTTGGGGAAACATTTTATTAAAATTAAGCTAAATTGTCTCAAGTTCTTTTATTCTTATAATAAAGGTTGAAGGAATGGGGGAGATTAACATTTCCTGTTTTTATGTTTGTGAAATTGTTTGACACAACCTTGACAGTATCCTTTAAGTGGCATATGAGGTTAATTGTACTGTTAACCAACTTTCTGTGTTCTGGAACTAGTTTAATAGTAAAAACATTTTCAGTAAGTTGATGTTTGCAACCTATAAGCAGGTAAAATCTGTGTATGTGACCTGTTTATAAGTTGTATTAGCTTAGCTCTTGTGAACAGTGTGGAAAAGTAAGCCATGAGGAGAGCGATATAACCAGCTTTAAAGGACCTAAGATGTGCTTTTTAAGCACTGTGGATCAAAGGAAACTCACTAAGACAGGACTTCCGCAGCCTTTTGAGTATGGACAAGTCAGCATAAATAAAGAATGACAAGGCAGCAGCAAGAGCTTCAACTACAGAGAAGTGAAGGCATAAGATACTATGGTGATAGTGAGCAACTTTCCAAAAGCTAGTTAAATCTGCTTATTACAACTGAAATATCGAAGAAAGTCTAGCAGGAAGGAGCTCTTCGCCTTTTGGAACATCAATGAGAGATAGTTGCCACAGTCACTAGGTCTAGCATTTAGACCTGCAAGGAAGGGCAATAAGCATTAGGTAAGGCTTGAATTTGAATTTTTTCACTAATTAAAGAGTAATTTTTTGTAAAGCAAGGTAAGAGTAATCTTTTTGATTTGCAGGTTGAATGAGAACCCTACTTGCCTAAATGAGGAATGTCTTTCCTACCATCTTAAATACGAAGGTTTCTGGCTGGGTAAGGTTTGTAGTTCACAGTAAAACCTGATGACACTATTTGTTTCCCTACAAGTCTATATTACATATTTTAAAACTTTGTCCCTCTAGTAGGTACATTGGCAGAAATCTTCAGATGAAAACTATCTTGGTACCATGTCCAACACATTTTAAACCTTAGTTTCAAGAATTCCCCTGCAGTAGCCATGGGTGTTCATCTTGAGTCAGATGTGGCCCCTTCATGTGTACAATTTGTTAGTATCTTCAGAGTAAAGTCAGTTTTTGGTAAGAGAAAGCAGCCTCAGCTTTTTTGAAAACAGTTTTTGTAATAATAAGCATGACTTGTAAAGACTCATGAAGTTGCCAGTTCTAGTACTAGGAATGATACCTTCAAATGAATTTCAGAATTGTCAAATGATAAAGATATAAAAAATGGTCTTCATTCAAGTGGTCTCGTGTAAAAGTATACTTGCATATAAATTCAGGGAATTAGTTGGACAAATAGAATAAATTTTTATTTTGGTTACTATTGACCAGAAGCACTGCAGGCCTGATTACGTTAGTGCTCCTTTTTAAAAAGACACCTTTTCCCAAAGAATGCTCAACTATTCAGATTAGTTGCTGATTATTTTTAAGGGCTGTTTTTGCTGTCCCAAAAGGGCTTATTAAAGATTGAGTTTAATGTTGATTTATTTTTTTAAAAAAAAATACACTTCAGGGGATAGATACTCAAAATACAAGCTAGTTTCTAAATTATAAATAAATCAATTTCTACATGAACAGGAGTAGTCAGTTTGGCAGACTTTATTCTCAGAAAATGGTTGGCTTTCTTTCTAAATCGGGACTGAATTTCTACACATCATAAAGTGAAGTGTTGAATAAGGTAACAGCCTTTTAATGATAAATTTCCTTGGCAACATGGTTTTTAAGTAAAGCAAATTTCCTAAGATAGGAAACATTTTCTTTTTCTAAAGGCATTGTTCTTATCAGTCTTTCTAATTTTTTATGAAATAAAATTATTTTACTTAAATGTAGTTTTATTGTCATTTCTGAAAAATACAACGTTCTCTTAAGTTTATAGCACCAGTAAGGCAAAGTAAGGAAATTGTTATAGTGGTAAATGCTTGAGGTAGATTTTTTTAACTGATGTTAATTAAACCAATTTGTAGATTACTGCTTCTAATAACTACATTTGTAAAACTAAATTTTCACACATGTCCTAAAAAATATTTATGTGGTAATAAAGTCCGTTTGTTAAGGAAATAATTGAAATAGGCTTGGTTTCAAGAATTCCGGTATAAGTCACAATTTCAAACACGTCTGATAATGACAATATCACTTGGAGTTCCAGTAATAAGTGTCACAAAGTAGTGAATAAGCATGCTAATGTGCAGGGGTAATAAGGTTTATTAGCCTACCTAAATATTTTTAATTACTTTTAAATTTCCGTCTGTTTTATCTGGTTTTTAAGACTTCAGAGGTGGTCTGTAATGGGTTCAAATGTTTCATTTGTAGTATAATGAAATGTTTACAGAAAGATAACTTTTTCATTAAAATATTTTTAGAAATGTGTGTGTTGTTTTGTCACTTCACAATGTTCATGTGACGCTATCAGTGGATATTTCAGCCTACTTTACTAGTAAGTAATAAAACATCAGGAAACTTGGAATGAGCCTTTATCAATTATTTAAAAAGTTGTGGATTTTATTCAATAAAAACAGCCATGGGAAATAGACGTGGAAGAAGATATTTTTAAAAGTTTATTGCCACTTAACATTGTTTAAAAGGACTTAGGTCTTGAAGGGCAGAATACTTTGGTGATTTATGTGAGGAATCTATGAACTTTGAAGAGGAAAAGAACAGGATGATTAGGCAAGTGAATTAGTGAAGGCAGCTTGGGAAAAGTGAAGGGGAGTTCCACACAAGTATCCAGAGAGGCAGTGGACTAATTGAACATACAATTGTATAGTGAGGGTGAGTTGGGGAAAAACTTACATGAAATTAAGCGGTCCTAAAACTACACTGTTGCACTTCAACCCAAATAAAAAGGATGTGATAAATGTCATCGTTTAGCTTGATAAACTTGTGGTGTAGGTCTTTGATAATTTAAATGTATTTTCTTCAATAAAATTATTTTTATGGTACATTTGGATTTCTAGCTTTAATATTTTTCAAGTGAAATGCTTCAAGTTGAAGCAGGTGAGAATTCTTGGATAGCTGATACTGACTGGATTGCAACACAAATTTTGTGATTCAAACACTGGCTTTTGAACTCCTGCCCTCATACTTCAGATTCACAAAGTGCTGGGATTATAGGTGTGAGCCACTACACCTGTCCCTCAAACCCTGGTTTTCATAGTGTTACATGGTGGTTCCATACTCTGTGCAGTTAAGTAATCTTAATTGTCATATAATTTAATTTTAATGCTTGGGTGCCAAAATAATACAGGATGAGTGGACTTTTTCCCACACAATAAGTATATTTTCTAAATATATGTTGAAAATGCGTTATTACAAACTGTAAAACATTCAGGGAATGAGATAAAATTTGAATTTTCATGTACCTATTGTACACATTGATTAAATTTTATTTGGGGGAGAGTCTCTTGTTGCCCTGGCTAGAGTGCTGTGGTGTCATCCTAACTCACAGCAACCTCAAACTCTGAGGGCTCAAGGGATCCTCCTACCTCAGTTCTGAGGAGGTGGGACTACAGGCATGTGCCACTACATTTTGTAGTTTACTTTTGTAAAAGTGGCATTCTGTTGTATATTGGGTTGGTTTAACTTTGAATTGAATATGCTATCAGGAGTACGTTGGTTAATAAAAAAATAGGGAATTCAATATGCAGTGCTAAGGTTTGGGGCAAGTAGGATAGTAATAGGTAAATCATTTTTGCTTATGTTTTCAAAGACCTTAAGGTCAGGTAATGGCAAGGGTGCACATTGAACTGTATGTTCATGCGGTAGAGGTTAAATGGATAGTTGCAAAAGCTAGCTAGGAAGTAAGAATTTGGCCATACTATTCAACTTCTAGAATTTATTAGTAAAATAGTAAATGTGGATAAGTAATGTTATGCACGAGGGTGTTGACAGCTTTAACTTCAAATATATGAAGCAGTTAAATATTTCACTACATCCATATATAGCTATTATATAGTTCCTTTAGCACTTAAAGGGCTTGTAATAGTCACAGAAAAGAATTCTGTCAATTGTTAAGCTATGTCTGGAGGTTAAAGTACTAGACAGGTTTTTTTGAGACAGTCTCTGTTGCCTGGGCTAGAGTGCCTTGGCGTCAGCCTAGCTCACAGCAACCTCAAACTCCTGGGCTTGAGCGATCCTACTGCCTCAGCCTCCCGAGTAGCTGGGACTACAGGCATGTGCCACCATGCTGGGCTAATTTTTTCTATATATTTTTAGTTGCTCAATTAATTTCTATTTTTAGTAGAGACCAGGGTCTTGCTCTTGCTCAGGCTGGTTTCAAACTCCTGACCTTGAGTGATCCACCTGCCTCGGCCTCCCAGAGTGCTAGGATTTACAGGCGTGAGCCACTGCGCCTAGCCAACTAGACAGTTTTTCAATGCATTGTATTACTTTGTATTCTTTCAACAAATGCTGAGAAAACCTAAATCCTTTAACATACATATAGTAAAATAATTCTGATGAGTTCTGTAGTTTGAGTTAACCTCAGCTGTGTTCTCTTAGGTTCTCATTTAATAGATACTAAAGGAAAATGTAATTAGGTTTTTGTTAGTCTGATTCTTATATACCAGGTTTTGCCTGTCAGAAACTTAAATACAGAATTTTTGTGAGCTCAGACAAGATACTTGTTAACTTTAATGTCATTGGTAATGCCAGTGGACCCCTTAAAATGTTAGTGATTTTATATGTATGAAATAGGTAGAATTACTTAAATATTATGTGAAAAGGGTTATCAGACTTAAGGTTTGTGACTTAAAACATGCTTTAAACATTGATCTAGTGACTTCTAACTTTGAAGTTGTGATGCATAAATGATAGTCTGACATTTGCAATAGTGGTCTAATTTGTGCTTTAAATATCGTGGTTTGTTTCCTAGAATATCAATGGCAGTGTTCAATTTCATTAAGTGTTACTGAAAAAGAGGTGACTTTGTCAGAATTCTCAGATCTAAATTCTACCTAAGAACTCCTGTTTATAAACTAATTTATTTTTTGTAAAGTGGGTATAGCACTCCACCTTCAATCTAGAAATTAAATTCAATAATGGGCTTAAAGAGCTTAACATAGTACCTGTGTCTCCTGGTCCCTAAAGATAGTATGTTTGATAATGTGATGGATACTGTCTTAAGAATATACCGAATCATACCTAAAATTTTAATGGGTGATAAGGAAGTGATATCAGTGTTGAATGTTTTCTTTTCCCCCCACATAGATTTGGGATATTATAGTCTTTAAATTTTTGTTTTTTTAGTTCCAAATATTAATAGCTTCTGCCAGGCGTGGTGGCTCATGCCTGTAATCCTAGCACTCTGGGAGGCCGAGGCGGGCGGATTGCTCAAGGTCAGGAGTTCGAAACCAGCCTGAGCAAGACCCCGTTGACCAACTAAAAATATATATACAAAAAAATTAGCTGGGCATAGTGGCGCATGCCTGTAGTCCCAGCTACTCGGGAGGCTGAGGCAGGAGGATCGCTTGAGCCCAGGAGTTTGAAGTTGCTGTGAGCTAGGCTGACACCACAGCACTCACTCTAGCCTGGTCAACAAAGTGAGACTCTGTCTCAAAAAAAACCCAAAAAATTAATAGCTTCAACTGAAACTGGTCTGATAACTGTCTTCAAAATGTGAGAACTATTGTGCATATGTTCTCAGGCTTCATCACAAATTTTGGTAAGGCGATTACATTTGAGCAGATCCCCTTCAAAAACAAGCTTGAGAAATCTTGGCAAGAAGATAAGAGTTGTTTTTTTTTTTATAACAATCCACACAATTAAGATTTCTAATATAGTGTTTGACATTAATACTTCAATGTAAAAGACATGTGTACATAATTTTAAACTACAGAATTAAACTCAGAAACTGAGTGCAAGTAAGGTTTAACAGTTGGGCAGCCAAATTTAATCCAAGGACAGTTATAAGGTTCTTAATTCAAATGCATATTGAGAAATGAAAACATGTTTTTTTTTTTGTCATGGGTAAGTTAGGATTTGTTATAATTTAAAATTGTACATTTATAATTCTACATAAAGTAATATGCTTAGTACCTCAGTGGAGTACTTTTAGGTACTGTACGGTTCTATGATCAGTTATCTTGTATGAATTGGGCAAAATATTTTGAAGTATGACTAACTCAAAAGTATGTAGGTAAAATCTGTTCTTGTCTGCCCAGCAATGCTCTTCCCACTTGAGTATTAGCTGATTCCAGGTGTTTCCTATGGGGATTGCTGCTGGGCTTGTTATGAACTCTCACTTTAAGACTTGGGAATGTTTTGAGATTGGAAAAGTGATGTCTTCTGCCAGGATCCTCCATCACTACCACCACCACTGGAGGAATTTCCTGGATATCATGGGAAAAATACTTGGGACACAGAATCTTCACATTTGAATCCCTGAATCCATTAGACCTTGGAGTTATTTTCAACCTTGAGATTTCCAGTTATGTGAGTCAAAATCGCTTAAGGTAATACGACTGGTTTCTCCTCACTTGTAACTAAAAAGCATTCTAATAGAAGGCTAAAGAAAATTGACAAAATACCTAATCTTTTAGAGTGTTTACTAAGAGCTAGGCAGTGCTTTTTTGTGGATCGACTTGAGTACTAGTATGCTTTACAGATAAGGAAACATGCCTAAAAGAGGCCATTCTAGGAATTGGCAGCAGCAAGCCCAAGCAGTCTAGTTCTAGGGCCAGCAGACCACTATACTCTATTGCTCCTAATGGATTAATGTGACTCTTCAGTGAATAATTCACATGTGCTTGTTCTAAACATACTTGAACACTAAGGTGAATACCCATCATTTCCCCACTTTAAAAAGGCAAAGCAAAACATGAACAAATGACAAAAAGCTGCTTAGATGAATATCATGAGCTAATAACTGAATGGTTTATTGGGAAACATGCAGATTTTCAAAAAATTTTGAGTGCCTTGTTTTTATACCTTCTATTTACATATCCAGTAGATCTCACAGTATGTCCTAAAGTGAACAGACTTCCCACCAGGACCTCCCTCCTAGATCCAGTCTTCACTGTCCCTGCCTGGGCAATTCAATCCTTAAAGATATTCAATGCCTTGATTCTCACTTCCATTCTAGTATCCCTTGAAACATGCACAATCCAATGCCTCTGACTATCTCTGGTATCACCCTAGACAAGCCATTATATTGCATGAGCCTCCCAATTGGTCTCCTTGTTTCTATCCTTTCCCTCTAGTTTATTCTCAACACACAAGTCAGAGGGAACTTTAAGTTGTATCTCTGAGGCATTTTATAACAAGCTGGTGCTCATACATATTTAAAGTTCATACATATATTTTTTAGCTTAACCTAGTATATGATTAACTTCAGTGATTTTTTTTTTTTTACTGCTATATAGAGATCCTTTTGTCTGGATGACTTAAGACCATAATTTGTCAATGGGCATCTCTTGTTTTTCCTTTATTGGCAGTAGGGAAATATTAATGTTTCCAATTTTGTCATTTTAGATTGAAACTCATCTCTGTAATAGATGAAGGCAGATTTGGTAGGATTTAAAAAACTTTTAAGGTTTCATGTGCTTCATTGGCTTGCAAAACAACAGCCTGCAAATCCTGCAACAGCAATGGCCAATCCAACTGTTAACCGCTGGACTGGCTATGGTTCAGCTCCCCCTGCCTCTGATGGGCGGGTTCAGCCACTGGCCTTTACCAGAAAGTGCCACAGTAACTGCCAGCAGGCACAGACCCCAGAGGGAACTTTAAAAAACCAGTCAGGTGCTACCCTTAACACCACCAGCAGCTTCCCGCTTCACTTAATGTAGGCTTGTAAGGCTGTGCCATGCCCCAAACCCTATCCTTCCTGACTTATTCTCCCCCTCCCTTTGTTCAGCCACATTGTCTTTTTTTTCTTAAACATGCCTTAGCCTTTGGATTTGCTGTGTCCTGTCTGCAGTGCTCTTAACTATCAAGATGGCTTGCACA